TTTGGGACAACCAGAAATTGTTGCGGACAACCCGATTTGATGCCGGGGTTGTCCGCAGGACAACCACATTTTTTTTCTTATTTCGAGCACTGCTTAGCATGTTTGGACAGTTGAGGAGGGATCTGGAAGTGCTACAAGATGGGTAACATCAGACAGTGGTCACCTGTCATAAGGAGGAGCGACACACACGCGTGAAAGCAGATGCTGCTGACAGACTGAAGATTCGTGAAGCACTGTGCACATGCATTGATGTGTTTGATAGTGACACACACCCAACTGGAAGTCTTGTCAACATATTTTCTGGTCAGGTTGTGGATGACAAAGGTGTCAATGCTGATGATTCCGTGAATATCGGCACTGATCAGTGGTTGGAGTATGAAAGGCAGTGGCCAACGGGATTTCACAACAAGATATGTAAGAAGGTCAAACCAATGTTAGCCGTTACAAAGCAGAAGATGAAGTGTGGGGCTCCTGAGAACGTGAACACTGAACTTATCTATGCTCGAGTCATTGGAATCATGGCTTCTTCCAGGGAGACCATTTCTACCAAAACCCTCTTCTCCTATGAACTAGCTCCCTTTCCATCTGCTCTGTTTAATGCTAATGGTGACATGAGAACAACCTCCAAGTCTGTGCTGAAGTCCAAGATCAAAGTAGAATGTAGTCAAAGAAACAGGGCGCCTTGCGAAGTTGTTATTCTAGATGGTTGTGCAGTTCTGTGGACAGTTCCTTGGCCTGCATCACCTGCTCAGGTGTCAATATTTGTTAATGCTGCTGTTGCTAGCATAATGCGTCATGTGAATGGTACACAGGTTCTGCATGTAGTGTTTGACAGATACTATGAGACCAGCATAAAGTCATGCTGTCGCGCACAACGTGCAAACGGTGTCAGTCGTGTGTACAAACTTACACCTGATTGCCCACTACCAAAGCAAACTGTCACCTTGAATGTCACAGCTAACAAAGAGCAGATCATTCGAATGATCGTAGATGAACTGAGTTTGTCTGACGTTCCCGAGGGCAAGAACATCATTGTGACAGGGCCTGATGCTCGTCCCATTGACGTAGGTACTTGTAGCCAGCTCACACCAGTGACACATGAGGAAGCTGACATCCTCATTGCTTATCATGCAATAAATGAAGCTGTGGCAGGACATTCATCTATCAAAGTTGTGTCGGACGACACAGATGTTCTTGTGATCCTGGCTCACCATCTACATGCGCAAACAAACGACATGCCAAGCAGAGTACAACTTCTCATGGAGTCATGCACCAGAAATCGCGCTATGATTGATGTCAATGAAGTTGTGAAAAAGCATGCACAAGTTATGCCCAACCTCCTGGCAGCTCACGCACTAACTGGTTGCGATTCCGTATCCTCTTTTGCTAGCTTTTCCTACCATGATGCTATACACCGACTATCACGAGCCTAGGTCGAGCCGTTTAGATTTGTGCCGCAATTCTGCGTTTCCTCCCTATACCTTCTTTCTATAGGAATGTTCCCCCTTCTTTTACACAACGGACGGACGGAGGAACGGACAATCATGCGATTCTACAAGCTGCATCTGACTATGTCAGATGAGCTAATAATTATAAATTTTACTGAAGTTGATCGTGATGGGGCATTACCATAAGTTCATTCTCGAGTTTCTTCAAAGAATTACAAATGCGACAAAGACAGGTGCGGATTTAGGCCGGTTTGCACCGGTTTCCAGAAACCGGTCACAGGCTGGGTATCTTCAAAATTGACCCTCAAAATTCACCAGAATGCACCAAATATAGCCTATTTTTTTTTTAATTCTCGGGGCGCATGCCCCCGGACCCCCTAGCTGTGACTAGAACTATGGAAACTGGTCACCCAAACCCTCTGGATCCGCCCCTGAAAGAGGTATCTAGTATTAAGAACTCAAATCATGGAATGGGTTCATAAAAGTAGGTGAAGAAGGAAGGGAGATGGATGACCAGAAAGCAAAATCTTACAAAATTATAGCTGATGTCATAAACATTTTTATAGTACACCCACATCAGTGGCAGAACTTGGCAAAATGACATCAAGAAAGCTATACATCATATCAGGAAAATTATCCTGACCTGAATATCATTGAGAACTAACAGTAAACCATATATATTATTGCCATATAACCAACGCATTGCATGCAGAAAATAACAATAGATGTAATCACTAGATGTAAAGTTCATGCAAAGGGATTACTGCACACTGCGCATGCATGAGTCGCAATTTAATAGTTCTAATTTTAAGAGTTCTACCTACTACCATAGAATGTGTTGGGTGAAGGATGAACTAGAAAAACCTGCACAGCTGTTTGATGCACTTACTGTCTGATCTTTCTTCTATAGCAAGTGGTGGGAAGCAAGGCACAATATTCGTTTGCTGAGCTATGAGATTAATGAAGATCGGTTGGAGGCCAGTGAGAATTAATACCGCTTGTATCGAAATGTACTTGCACTAAAAAGAAAGTACATCATGTGGTGCATATATAAACACAAAAAGAGTGCATGTCAGGTATAGTGTGTTAGTAGGAGAGAGGAAGAGAGAGAAAGATGGAGGCGGAGACAACGAGAGGGAGGGACGGAAATGGGAAAGGGAGCGAACTGGGGGGGGGGAGGGGGGAGATGTAGGGAGAATGACGAGAGAATGTTGATACATACAACTTACCATAGAAAGGAGAAAAGATTTACCCAACCATGGAATATGGTAATTAGCAACTAGGTATTAGACTCATATACTCTGATTCATTGTGGGATGAACTCTCGAACACTTGAGAAAACTTGGAAACACTTAAAAACTTGAATACAAGAATACTTGAAAACGACACTATTACTCTCTATTAAAAATTAATGCCTTAGAATTTATTACACATTTATTGTCATAAATGTCACCATGCCTACATATAGAACATACCTTGATATCAAACTTCTTTTGCAGGTAGACAAAAGAGGGACGTCCTACTATGGCAAGACACCACATACAAGTCACTATACAGCCAACGTTGAAAATAGTATACCACAAGTACCACGAGGATGGTGACCACTGGAAGCAGACACAACCCGTTAGCCCTCCCGAAGACTGAAAAGCAGGACGGAAATACTGGAGCTCCTAAAAAGTGTTATTTTAAGTGCATGGACAAATTTAATCTTAAATTGATTTACCGATGATTGCATTTTATACCTAAAACATTCATATGAACTAATAACATGAGTACAGTGGTCGCCGCTTTATCAGGCCTCGGATAACAGGCACATTGCTTAAAGGCTCACAATTCGCATCCAAACGCTAATTTCTCCAGTACTAGACTAGCAAATACTTCGTGTCATGCATAATCACACTACCTTATGACAAAATAAACTCTAGTTGCTCCCATTTCACTGCGCGTTTGCTTAAAACCCACAAGAAAGAGGTGAGAAAACTGGCATTCTGGCGCAAACGCCGACTGTTTGCCAAACAATATAGCCTCAATAAAAACATGCCACCTCACACCTTACCCGGCTAAGGCTATCGATATCACCTCTAATCTTAACTTCCCGAAGAGCGCAACACATCTCCAACCCTGACTCGCCAGTGGTCAATTCATACCGGTATCCCATTTCAACCGTCCGTAGGCCCTAATACGGGGACCTATGCCTTCCTTGTAGCCGGCAGTGAGTGGTAGGAGGCATATTTGGTAAGGAATTCACGACTCATCTTGCAACATCGGGGTATAAAAGAGCCCGCACGAGAGACACGGGGTTCTTATGTTCACAGTCCTCGGTTGCTAGATTCTATGTGTAGTGTGTAGTGTGTGTGTGTTTTGTGAGTATGAAATATACAGTGAAACGGCAGTTGTACACGACTACCAAGTCTACCTTCTACGTATTTTGTTTCTAAGTTAGTCACACATCATTCACGGCGCATATAGCAGTCACCTATAAGCGCACAGTTGTCTGGCAGCAGAATTACCCAGCGACTACATTCAAACATGTTTTTATCTTTGCTACACCCGTACCGCTGTACCGCAGCACCGCTGCACGGTTGCTTGGGGATTGGGGAAACTGTCAACAACATCGGAGAATTTGAACAACATTGGAGGTATATTTTCAAATACCTTTTATAAGAATGGATAATAACGCGCAGTGAAATGGGAGGAACTAGAGTTTATTTTGTCATAAGGTAGTGTGATTATGCATGCCACGAAGTATTTGCTAGTCTAGTACTGGAGAAATTAGCATTTGGATGCACATTGTGAGCCTTTAAATCATATTATTTGCTTAAAGCAGTCTGTATTAGCACACTGAGTAGCACTAGTGTTGTCAATCGG